AAGGTCCTCGTTTCTCTCACACGTTCCCCGTTCGAACCTTTGAGGGATTCATCCCTTCAGTTTCTCACCTTTAAGGTAGTTTTTCTAGTAGCTATTACTTCTGCTCGTCGAGTTTCGGAAATAGCAGCTTTGTCAGTTAGGAGCGATCTATGCGTGTTCCACGCTGATCGGGTGGTCCTTCGTCCCGACCCCACCTTCCTACCCAAAGTTAACTCCCCCTTCCATAGGTCACAGGAACTGGTTCTACCAAATTTTTGCCCTAGGCCCTCCAGGGGCAGGGAGGTCCTCTGGCACACCCTAGATGTTAGAAGGGCCTTGCGTATATATATTAAGCGCACTCAATCCATGCGAAGGTCGGAATCCCTCTTCCTATCCTTTCAACCCAGGTCACTGGGGCTTAAGGTTTCTCCTTCCACCATCAGTCGCTGGATCAGGGCTACTATCGCGAGGTGCTACCTTTCCCATTCTCTGCCCGCTCCGGGTGGAATAACCGCCCATTCCACCAGAAGTGCAGCCACCTCGGCGGCCTGGGCCACACAAGCCCCCATCGCTGACATTTGTCGGGCAGCCACCTGGACCTCTGCGTCCCCGTTTATCAGACATTATAAAATAGATACGTACGCCTCAGCGGAGGCCTCTTTTGGCCGACGGGTCTTACAGAGGGTCATCAGTGATCCGGAGGGGCCTTCGGGCCAGACGGAGTCCCACCCGTAGGACAGCCCAGCTTTGGTATGTCCCAGTCTCTGGATGCTCCGAGCGGCTCGAGGGAGAATGGGCGTTGGTTCTTACCTGATACGCCCCTTCTCAGCGAGCCGCGAGGAGCATCCAGCCCCACCCTAATTTCTCCGTCTGGTGGGGAATCTTGCTTCAGCCAAGGAGCCAATAGTAGATTAGAAAGAATTAATAACCTCTCTTCTCGTTATCGCAAAAAACTGGGGAGACGCTGCGCGATACCACGTGAGGGGGCGGAGCGTTTCCTCATCTAAAGCTCAGCCTGCAAGAAGAGGACTCAGAAGCACATCCCAGTCTCTGGATGCTCCTCGCGGCTCGCCGAGAAGGGGCGTATCAGGTAAGAACCAACGCCCATTTTATGTTTTAAATGTTTTAAATTAAATGTTTTAATTATACAATTATAAATATATATAATTATGTATAAATATGTAAATAATTATGTAAATGTATTAAAATATGATACAAATCAAGAGTAAAATATTTATAATATTTAGCAATTTTCTACATACTTAGGAATATATGTCAAAGTGAGTGAACGCTACTACTAATGCGTTGCAATGAACGGAAATATGTTTTTAATTGTAGAATTTGTTTAATAAAGATTTTTTTTAAAGGCTGCTAAAGGTGATCATGTGACCCTGGGACACAGCAATGGTCATAACTATGAACCAGTTGCCAAGGGGATGAATTTTGATCACATGACTGAAGGGCTGCTGCAAGGGTCCTGTGAAAGAACAGACATAAATTATCTCTCCCCCCCCCAAGGTGTAATCACTTGTTTAATTCTCAGCTGAAACATGTCATATGTGCTGTCTTGGGACCCAAATGCCTGATTTGAGTCCCCACTTCAGTGCTGAGTTTCTCAAGTCCAGAGTTCTCTTTTTGTAGGATATATTTATTTATTTATTTAATTTATATCCTGCCTTCGTTATTTTTACAAATAATTCAAGATGGCAAACATCGCCAACACACCTTCCATCTCCCTATTTTCTCCACCACAGCAGCCCTGTGAGGTGGATTGGGCTGACAGAATGACTGGCCCAGTCGCTCAGCTGGTTTTTCATAGCCTAAGACAAGACATGTACTCCTGCTTTCTAGCCTGGTGCCTATGTACATACAGAAAGTTATCTTTTTCAATGCCATTGTAACTTTGAACAGTCACTAAATGAACCGTTGTAAGTTGAGGACTACTTGTAAATACATGCCAGTTGCCTACAGCCTGAATTTGGATTATGTAACCATGGGGCTGTAGCCAGATTGTAAGTGTGAGGACTAGTTGCAAGTCACTCTTTTCACTGCCTTCATAACTTTGAATGGTTGTTAAGGAAATGGAGATAAGCCACCTGTAATAAGAAAACTGAATTAGCATGGATTACACTTAAAAGCCAAAAGGTTAATGAGCAGGATCAGATATGCTATTAGGGAAAGGAGAGTTTCCGACCCAAAGGATGAAAATAGAAATGGATATAAACTCTTAGTAAAGATTATAATTAGTTGATAAAACACTCACAACAGAGAGAGACTTTGAGCAATACCTGGCAAGGAAATCGAAACAAGGAAATAATAGGACTTAGGACAGAGGTCTCCACCTTGGCAATGTTAAGGCTTGTGAACGTCAGCTCCCAGAATTCCCCAGCCAGCATGGCTGATTGGGGAATTCTGGGCATTGAAGTCAATAAGTCTTCAATTGCCAAGATTGCCAAGGAGGTCCTTGGAGCAGTGTATGGACCAGAAAAGCTACTGGGTTATTTTAGAGTGGAATTTAATGAAGAATAGGGAATTAGCACACTTTTGCTTCACATATCCTTTCCTAAGTTTGCTTTTTCGGGAAGATGTTCAAACCAGCTAAAACACAGAGGTAATGAAAATGAAGTTATAAGCCACGCAATGAACAAAGAACCACACAAAATGAAGTTATAAGAAAAAGTGAGCAAGTCCCTTGCGTCCAGAAAATATCTACCTAAAAGTTCTTAAAGAACCTAACTCCATATGTGCTCATCTTTTCACAAAACATTGGCAAATTTCCTGTAATATGCACACACCTGTTCCTGAAGACTGGAAAACAACCAGGGCGACCTTGAGTGAAATATGCTAAAAATAACATTAGGCCAGTTAGTTTAACATCTGTTCTGAGGAAAAGGTCTGCGAACTTAGTTGAATAGAAAAGAAGCAAAAATGTAAAAGAAAAGGCTTTGCTGAAAAGAAATCCCATGGCTTCTAAACTTTTTAAAGAACATCCCTAAGCATGTAGACAAGAAAAACCTAATAAATATTGTATATTTGGGTTTTCAAAAGCCTTTGACAGAGTCCCTCACCCATAGCTCCTGAACAAGTTCATGAGATGAGAGGAAAGGAAAGGAACCTGTAAATTGTTTTTTTAAAAAAACCCATAAAATAGAGGCAGATAGAGTGACAGTTTGGTGTAGTGGTTAAAGCAGCAGGCTTTTAGTTCTGGCTCAGGCACGAGTGTCTGACTCAGTGTCCTTGGGCCAGTTTTTTTATTTTTTTAAAATTGTTTATTTGTATCCTTGTAGCCTTCATTATTTTTACAAATAACTCAAGGTGGTGAATATATACAACACACTTTCCTTCTCCTATTTTCCTCACAACAACAACCCTGTGAGGTGGGTTGGGCTGAGAGAGACTGATCGGCCCAAAGTCACCCATCCAGCTTTTGTGCCTAAGGCGGGACTAGAACTCACAGTCTCCTGGTGATTGGCCCAGTCATCCATCCAGCTTTCATGCCTAGGGCGGGACTAGAACTCACAGTCTCCTGGTGATTAGGCCAAAGTCACCCATCCAGCTTTTGTGCTTAAGGTGGGACTAGAACTCACAATCTCTGGTTGTCCCAAAGATGCTTTTTCAAAAGGGAACTGGATTTTGTTTTTCCTTGAAGGCATTTCACTTCTCATCCAAGAAGTTTCTTCAGTTCTGGGCCAGATTTTGGCGGAAATATATATATTTTTAACATAAAGTGACTTATTGAAGTTAAATCCAGGGTCTATCAGAAGAAAATGTTATTTTTACAAAGTGCAGAGTCAAATGCTAGAATTCACAGCCAACAGATGTACTGGCAGCTGATGTGGATGGTTTTAGAATGAATCTGAAAGGTTATAGAAGATTAGGCTTTGAGTAACTGATTAGGCTTTGAGTAATGGCTTTTTCCTACTTCTTGAACCATAAGTAGTAGCCTTTCATGTGAGTTGCTGGGAAATGATACCAGGAGGAGGTAATCCTTCTGTCTAGGCATTTGAGTTGCCCAGATGTAGCCAGTTGTTATGAACAGACCTCTTGACTCTTTCAATGTGGGACCAATGGACTTCAGCATTTTGATGGAGACTAGTTTTTAATTTTTAATTTATTTGTTTCCCACCTTTATTATTTTTATAAATAACTCAAGATGAAAAACACATCCAACACACCTTCCTCTTCCTATTTTCCCCACAACAACTATCCTGTGAGGTGGGCTGAGCTGCGAGAGAGTGATTGGCCCAAAGTCACCCAGCTGGCCATCATGACTAAGGTGGGACTAGAACTCTCATTCTCCTGGGGATTGGTTTAAAGTCACCAAGCTGGCTTTCATGGCTAAGGTGGGACTTGAACTCATGGTCTCCTGCTTTCTAGCCTGGTGCTTAACCATTAGGTCATGGTGGTGTCACGTGACGTATCGTGACTTTTCCCCCCTTCGCTAAACTGGGCATGGGCGTGGCCAGCGCATGACACATCTGGCCTATGGATTGCGAGTTTGACAGCCCTGCACTAGACCAAACTGGGCCTCCCAACTACTGGTAGTTGGCTTCATCTGTGGTCAAGTTGCCATTCTTTGCAGCTATTATTTATTTAAAAACATTGATATGGCTGATCTATGCTCTGGGCAATGTGCCAAAACACAAAATCAGCAAAGACAAAAGCAACACGTATCATTAAAACCTAATAAACAACAATGACCAATTACTTAGCTACACTCCTTCTGGTATCATTTCCCAGCAACCCATATTAAAGCTGCTACTTCTGGTTGAAGAAATAGGAAATAGACAAAATTAATTTGCACCTTCTTGGTGCACTTGACTTCTCTATTTTCATCTTCTGGTTGATGGTCCCAGAGCCTCTTGCTTAGTGGGCTTTTTTTACAGAGTTCGTTTAATTGTGTTTTATGCCAAAAATAGCACTTAGGATTCAGAGGTAGGATATTTGTGTGTCAAACTTTCTTTCTCGAAGCTGCTTCCTACATCTCCTGTTGTTGCGGCTAATTTTGGTTGTTTGGTAACCAATACTTGGCACTGTTTCTTTATTCCATTTGTATACCACCAAATCTACCAGATGCTCCCAGTGTTTTGCAATGTCAATTATAATTAAAATGTAATTAAAGCCATCATAAACATTGGTATAAAATCATCCAATAACAATAATAATAATTAACATCAGTCAATTGCAAAATCTTACAGCTTACAAAAGATTGTAAAATTATGTCAGTTATGTGATGACTTGCTTTACAACTGTCATTAAAAAAATTTGATTATACAGTAATATAAAATGCAAAAAAAGGCAAAAACAAAGCAGGAAAAACAGGGGAAGGGAAGAGTGCAGAAAAGAAAGGAAAAAGAAAGAAAAAGGATTGACTTCCAGCTCCCCTTGGTGCAGTGTAATAAAACAGTAACATCCAACTTCAACTTTTTACTTTTCCATAGTAGTATAAACTAGCCATTTCTGTATCAACAAATCTATTTAATCGGTAAAACCCCAAATCAAAATTTCATTTTTTTCCACCTCAAGTACAAAGTCCAGAAGCTGTTTCCAAGTAGAAACAAAAGTACTTATATTTTTTTTCTTTCATCAAAGCAGTCGATTTAGCCATCTCTGCTAACTCCATTCTTCCATTGTGGGGATCAAAGTGTCCTTCCATTTTTGCTGCTTTACAACTGTCATGACTTAGGTCCAAAATGGGCAGCTTCATTACAGTTGTAAGTTGAGCATTACCTGTAGCCTTCTCAAGGGAGCTAAGTCTTCACATCATGTGCCCAAAATATGATAATTTTGAGTCTTGTGTGAGAGCAAACTTTGCATTTAGAGCAGGGGTCTTCAAACTTGACAGCTTTAAGACTTGTGGACTTCAACTCCCAGAATTCCTCCTCCAGTCATGTTAGCTCAGGAATTCTGGGAGTTGAAGTCCTCCAAGCTTAAAGTTGACAAGGTTGGAGACCCTTGATTTAGAAGATCCCTTGGGGACTAATTGTCAAGCTCTGCACAAACTTCAGTCACTATAGGTAGTCCTTGATTTACAACCATTTGTTTAGTGACTATTCAATGCTACAGTGGCACTGAAAAGTGACTTATGACCATTTTTCACACTTACAACCATTACAGCGCCCCTATGGTCATGTGATCAACATTTGGATGATTGGCAACTTGATCATATTTATGACGATTGTAGTATCCTGGGGTCATCATGTGATCCCTTTTGTGACCTTCTAACACCGTGATGGTGAACTTATGGCATGCGTGCCATAGGTGGCACACAGAGCCATTTGTGCCAGCACACGAGCTGCAGGCAACTTACCTCACTGGGCACGCATGCACCTCACAGCTGATTTTTGGCCCGTTTGAGGCCTTTTTCGGCCTCCCAAAAGCTTGAGGAAGGTTTCTGCAGGCTTTGCAGGGCAAAAAGTAGCCCTGTTTTGTCACTTCCTGTTTTTCTGAAAATATCGGAAGTGACAAAACAGGGCTAGTTTTCGGCCTGCAGAAGCCTTCCTCAAGCCTTTGGGAGGCCGAAAACGGTCTCAAAACAGGCCGAAAATCAGCTGTGAGGTGCAGTGCAGGTAAGGGGGTAGCAGGAGTGGGTATTACACACGCGTAAGGGGTATGGGGGGGGCGCGCATTGCCTTCTGGGTGCTGGCATGCGAGTGCGCGCGTGCAAGCGTGCGCACAATTTTTGGCACAGGAGCCCAAAAAGTTTAGCCACTACTGTTCTTACAAGTAAGGCCATTGGGGAAGCCAGATTCACTTAACAACCGTGTGACTAACTTAACAACTGCAGTGGTTCACTTAACAACTGGGTCAAGAAAGATAATAAAAGTGGCCCAAACTCACTTAATAACTTTCTCACTTAGCAACAGAAATTTTGGGCACAATTGGTTTGTAAATTGAGGACGGGCACAGTTGTGGTCGTAAGTCAGGAATACCTGTACAACTATCATGAATTTGCAATATTCCTCGCTTCAAATCTGTCTTAAGAATTCCAATATTTTTAACTGATTTGGTCACTTGGGCGAGGTTCACACGAGTAGCACAGTCTGAAAAAGAGGCAGTTCAAAAAAGACAACAAGAGCCAGGATAAATTTTAATTGATCACGTGTTACTTCATTTAATTGCAGTTAGCATAATTGCAACCCATACATTCCACATTCAGTGACTTAAAAATGTTTGCTGGCCACATTTTAGAAGCATCCCTTCCGAGGTTTTGGGAGGCTGGTGGGAGCTCCGGAGGGGGAAATATGGATGAATTAAGAGGTTTTTCAGCCTTTCTCCTGTCGCCTTTCCTGGTTCTTTGTTCCAAGTGCCGTCTTTTCCCTCCGCCTCCTTTCCTCTTGGTTGCTCATTAAATGCGCTTCCAAGTCACACAGAAGACCCTCTGCAGCTGTCGAGCAAACCCCACAGATGACCTGGTTCTGCTTTTCTCATGAATGCCCACCTCTGCCGTGGCGTAGGTATTCTTGTCACGTTGGCGCAAGAAATAGTAAAGCCACTGAAAAAAGCAAGGCCGGCCTTGGGTCTCGGCGAACGAAAAGTGCACCCTAGTAACACCCCCCACCCAGAAAAGATGCTCAAATGCTGGGCAGCTTTTGCAGAAGAACCGTTAATGTATAACTGTTAGGTGAAGGTGTTCAATCTGGTGGCTGGGCGTAAAAGGAATGAACAAATGAGAGATGTGGGTCCTAAGGTCAGGTTCAGCCTGAAAAATGGGAAGAGGAGTGGGTGTGTGCATACATGGATGTCTGTAAAATCACATTGAAACACGTTTCTAAGGAGGATGACTTCATAATTTCCAAGTGGTCATTTTTCAGTCTATTATTGTATGTCCAACATCCTGTTTGGCCAGGAGGATTTGCAATATAATATTGCAGCCCTGTTCAAATTCCAAACAAGTTGCAGCTAAGCAGTGTATTCCTTGTTCATTTCTTTTTCTTTCATCTAACACAGTGGTTCTTAACCTTTTTGAAAGAATCGCCCCCTTGAGCCATTGAGGAAGTTATCATCGCCCCCCTCCCCCAACATAACCTCTCAATCACAAAAACAGGGAAATAATTCTTCAATTTATGCAAACATGTTTTTTGTTTTCTTTAAATTTGTCATCAGGACATATCAATGCAAATAATTTATTTCCAGTCTTTTCCCCATATCTCACTGTGTGAAAAATTCTGATGCCACCCATCACTTTACTCCCAAACTTCATGATACAAGTATTTCATTATTATCTTATTCATTCAAGACACTTAAATGCAATGACCACTGAAAACAAAATTGAATTACAAGAAAATGAAATGCCCGAAAAAAACAGTAACATTTAATGATTTAATTACAAGTGAATTTTAAGACGCAAAAAGGGCATAAGAACAAACCGCAATGCAGGAGCTAAGAATTTCAAGACGAAAACTCTGAAACTAAATTAAGATTCGAGGAAAATATATATTCATGCACACTGTAAAAAGGGTTAAAGAGACACAAAGAAAAATTTTACAGAACATTTTAAAACACAGTTCAATCCACTAATAGCGAGCGATCTGATGTTTTTGTACAACAGATATACAGCTGTTCACTGTATGAAAAAAGTCTCAAAAATGTCCCCATAACTTCTCGCTCCATCGCCCCCATATCACCCCCCTTCCGTTCCTTTGCCCCCGCGTCGCCCCTTTTTGTTCCATTGCCCCCCTGAAAAACATAATCGCCCCCATAGGGGGCGATATCGCCCAGGTTAAGAACCACTGATCTAACAGACCTGCTGTGATAGCAACAGCACTTAGACTTACATACCGCTTTATAGTGCTTTTCCTCCCTCTGTAAGCGGTTTTACAGAGTCAGCCTACTGCCTCCAACAATCTGGGTCCTCATTTTACGCACCTCGGAAGGATGGAAGGCTGAGTCAACCTTGAGCCTGGTGGGATTTGAACTGCCAAATTGCAGGCAGCAGAAGTGGCCTGCAGTACAGCATTCTAACCACTATGCCACTGTGCCACATGATGCTGCTTACGACCACAACTGAGCCCAAAATTTATGTGGTAAAATGAGACATTTGTTCAGTGAGCCCCACTTTGTATTTTGCAAATCCCCTTTTTATTTATTGTATTTATTTATATTTCGTATTTCTTAATTGTGCATTTGTCTCAGAGAAGTGCCCTTATTGAGGACATTGAGAGTTTTATCTTTATTTTTAAATGCGAGTTTATTTATTTTGATGGAAGGATTGATGATGGTTTGGACTGTTAGTTAGCCAGCACAGAAATGAAGCAAGTAAATAAATAAACAACACTATTTTATCAGTCTAGGCTGAACTGCTGCTAAATATGCCATTCTCTCCCCCCATCCCCCCCCCCAGACTTCTAGCAACCAAAAAAAACCCAAATTTATTATCTTAGAAGCATCTGTGGGTCACAATTCAATTCATTAGTTCTGTGGAGTATAATCCTTGGTGTGATATGTTTTCTCTCTCACATACACGCTTCTGTGTTTAGGAGGAAAAAGGAAAGAAAGAAAAGAGCAAGAATTTGCTAGAGAGAGAATGCAACTGGGCTGCAAACCAGCCATCTTGTTTTAACCTGTGAATTGGGCAATCCCAATTTATATCCAGGGTGCTGAGTTCAGTGAACAAGCCACCGTCAAGTTAATCACGGTTGTGTTGTGCAAACATAGCCATCATCACATGACTCCAGGGCAGTGCAACTGGCCATAAATGTGAATCAGTTGCCAGGTCAAAAGTACCTTGTGGGGGAGTCCATCGTAACTTCGAATGGTTGCTAAGCAACTAGTCATAAACCTATATCTGATAGTGAATTGAATTCTAACCCTATTTCTCTCTCTCTCTCAGGGGTATCTAGAGAAACACTGATTAAAAAACAAACTGGTAATTCCAACTGTACAATCCATGCTCTGAGAGAGAGAGAGAAAACGGGTGAGAGGGGGGCTTTAATTACATCACTGAGGCCACCATCTTGTTTTTTTAAACCAGGTTCTCCAAGCTTGGTAACTTTTAAGACTTCATGCTGGCTGCGGAATTCTGGGATTTGAAGTCTACAAGTCTTAATGGGAGAACCCTGTCTTAGACCATACAGCAGATACGCCCGTTTGTTGGAAAAGGCTAACCACGGAGCATGCTCTGCACCTTGGGGGGTGGGGGAACGACTGTAGCCCTTACTTTATTTCCCCCTGCCACTCCAAAATCTGCATTGCAACTCCATGCTTGCTAATGCTTCCTCTGGCATCCTTGGAGATGTCAGTTTGCTGTTAGTTTCTCTCTCTCTCTCTCCAGCCTCTTCAAAGGTGGATTTGGCCACCCAGCTTGCCCCCTTCACCTGCCTTTACAGGTGCTCAAAATCCAGGTGCTGAAATGGGAGCGCTTGTTCTTGGGGTTGTAAAAAGCATTTGCCAGCTTGGGATGGAAATAATCCTGTGCCTGTTTTCAATAGAAGAATGAACTGGCCCCTTTCAAAGCATTTCTCCTTTGACCTCCCAACTCTGTGGGTCTTTGCTGGGCCTCCTAGCTGTTTTTGGCTGCTCAACCCTCTCTCCTTCCGAGGCCTTAGATTTACCTGCTGAGACCTTCAGCAACGTTTGTCCTACTTTCAGACACAGCAAGCCAGCATACCTATTTTAGTTCCAGGTCACCATTTCAGGGCACAGATTGTCAATTATTTAGTTTATTATTAGCTTTTCACCCCTGGGAAGTGGGAAGGAAGCCATTTATATGTTACTTTGCCTCGGGCTTCAAGGTATCTGGGGCTGTTTCTGGCCTTAAGCTCAGGTCCCAGGTAGCTGCTGTATTTATAGGCAACGTGACCATGAGTGAAAGGAAGGCAGATTTTAATTTTTATTACTATTACTATTATTATTATTGGTTAATCTTCGATTCACAGTCTGGGATTGGTAAAAAGGTAACAGTTCAAGTCCTAACCAAGGACCTAAGAGATGTTAAGGTAACGTTTGAGTAAATATAGGTCAGAGGTGTCAAACTCGCGGGTGTCACGACATCATGTGACGTATCGCAACTTTCCCCCCTTCGCTAAAATGGGGGGCATGGCCAGCACATGACACATCCGGCCCATGGGCCGTGAGTTTGACACCCTGATATAGGTAGATCCTTTTTTGTCAGAGTCAGAATGTTCAGATCAAGTAAGTTCAAAATTTCTGTATTATTATTTGCAGAAATATCATTTAGGAGCTTCTGAGCCTGACACAGTGATTATTGATTTTATACTATTGCTTTGAGACCATGTTGTCAAGGGAATAAATTCCCTTTGCTACAAAATACAGGTAATCCTTGTTTTGTGACCACAGTTGAGACTGGTAACTTGGTCATTAAGTGAAGTGGTCATCCACTGAAACATGATTATATCTTATTTAAGCCTTCCTTTGTCTTATAGACTAAGAAGATTGTAAATGTGAGGGCTGGTAGCAAAATTACTTTCTCATCACCATCATAATTCTGAAGGGTTGGTAAGTGAGGAAGTCACTAAATGAGGACTACCTGTAAGGACAAAACTAAAATAACCTTTTGTACCAAGTTGATAACATTACTGTTGGGATGGTTTCATACTCTATATCAAACTATGATATGTTTTAATTCCAATTTGTTCAATAAACCCAAAGATTGGTTTGATGTTGAGCCATAAGCGGTGTCTACAGTCCACAGTGGTTGGGTCCATGCTAAGTCAAAACCAAGCAAAGAAATGTGAACTGTGAATCTCTAAAGCTTTTTCTGGATAAATACCTAAACCTTTATAAATTAAACAACTAAATAACAGAAATAATAGGGATATATAGTCATGGGACTTTGGGGCTCAGACCCTTAGATTTCCTTCCTTAAAGCTTCTCTAGGTAAAGGTAAAGGTTTAGGCTCTAGGGGGTGGTGCTAATCTCCGTTACAAAACTGAAGAGCAAGCGCTGTCCAAAGACGTCTCTATGGTCATGTGGTTGGCATGACTAAATGCTGAAGGCACATGGAACGCTGTTACCTTCCCACCAAAGTGGTCCCTATTTTTCTACTTGCATTTTTACATGCTTTTGAACTGCTAGGTTGGCAGAGGATGGAAAAAGGAACGGGAACTCACTCCGTTATGCAGCCCTAGGGATTCGAACTGCTGACCTTTATGATCGACAAGCTCAGCGTCTTAGCCATTGAGCCACCATGTCCCTTAAAGCTTCTCTAGACTTATACAAAACTGGTTTTTGCCAAATCTACTGCAAGGACTTATGGTGTGTTGGCTTTGTGATCTACAGCCAGGTGATGTGTTTGCAGTGTGTACAAGAGGCATTTACCACTTTGGGGTTAATTAGAAATTCGTTCCCATAGTAAATACCATCTCCCACCAGGTGAGGGCACTCATTCTCTACATGGGGTTGGCACTGCCAAATCTTTTTGGTTAGGCCTTTGAAGGAATAACATTGGCACTTTTGAACTTTGGAGTTGGAGAAGACTCCTGGCAATACCATGGATGGTCAATATAATAATAAACAAATAAACCAATGGATCACTGAACAAATCAACCCCAGCTCTCGCTTGAGACCCAAATGATGATGCTCAAGTTATCCTACTTCAGACACAAGATGTGAAGACCCAGTTCTCTGGAGAAAGTTCTAATGGTGGAAAGAGTAGAAGGAAAGAGCAGAAAACAACCAGCTGCAAGGTGAATAGAGTCCATTAGAGTTGGAATACCTGGAGGACCAGGATTGGAGACAAATCTTCACAGAGAAAATCCATCAGTGTCAAGGATGTTCAACCTTGGCCACTTTAAGACTTGTGGACTTCAACTCCCAGAATTCCCCAGCATGGCTGGCTGACTGGGGAATTCTGGGAGTTGAAGTCTTAAAGTGGCCAAGGTTGGACACTCCTGATGTATGAAGTTGCTAGTTGACACTGACTTGTTGGCAAGTAATTAATCAATCAACCTCTTTGGCAATTGTAGGACAGACTTCCTCAATCTGAAGGCTACCCACACATCTGAAAGGTCTCCAATTAGACAAATCTAACTGGAGTATTCAAAAGTAATAGTTACAGCCTGTCCTTTAGGAAGACCCTTGAGACTTAGCTCTGAGTGTGTTCCTGTGTGGTCCTTTTAAGCAACAACAATGGTGTAATGCAGCTGATTTGTTTCTGCAAGCCTCCTCCTTTAAATTGTTTTTTAACCCGCTACAAGTCTCCCAGAGGCGTTGTCAAAGTGGGTGGTCTTAAAAAAAATCCAAGATTAAATAAACAAATCATGAATTCAGCCTTGAATAACTTCCTCCCAAGCTTGTGGCCATCACCAAGAATTCCATTTAAATCAGGATTTAGTCATACCTGGGCTTCTGCAGATGTTTTGGACTGCAGTTCCCATCGTTTCTGATCATTCAACATGCTGGCTGGAACTGAATAGAATAGGGTAGAATTCTTTATTGGCCAAGTGTGATTGGAGACACAAGGAATTTGTCTTGGTGCAAATGCTCTCAGTATATATAAAAGAAAAGATAACATTCGTTAAGAATCAAGAATCATAAAGTACAACACTTAATGATAGTCATAGAGTACAATGAGCAATCAAATCATACTAGGAAACAGTCCATATAGATCTTAAGGATACAAGCGGCAAAGTTACAGTCCTACAATCACAAGTGGGAGGGGGTGGGTAATAAGGAGTGCTGAGATTAACAGTAATAGTAGGGCAGACTACTATTGGTTCATAAT